TCAGCTCGGATTTAGCTCTAATACGACCCCCTTTTTATTATTCCGTTCAGGCCTGATTTAGCTCTAATACGACCCCCATTAATAATCCGAAGTTGACATTAGGGCTGCCCAACCCGAAGAAGATCGACGTGGCGGTGCCAGCCAACATGGTTTACGGGTTCAGGACCAGGCGTAAATGCCTGATAAACCTCAGCTACACGCCGCGGGCAATTGTCGAATGAGGGGTCCAAGACGCTGCAGTCAACACTGGCAAAGGGATCCCTTCTGAGGCCTGCATCTGCCTCTTGCAGATTACAACTTCGAAGTGTTAACAGCCATGATAACAGCCTTCTTTTGGGGGAATGATCGGCGATCTTCTGCTTTAGAGACTTGCAGCGTCAGACGGCAGCATGTGCCTTTTTGACTCAAATCGGGCTTCTGTCCTGAGGCAGAGGGTTCAGCTTGTAGCCGGCAGCTGCCCGGCCAAGCAGTTCTGTTTTAGAAAGTGCGTTTGCTCCCAGCAGCAAGAGGCCACGGCTCCTGTCGCAGGTTTGTGCAGACAGGCCTTTGACCTACAACCTTCATTGCATCCTCGCAAAGACTTGCTCCTCGTGACAAGAGAGAAGGACCCTAGCTGACATGGACCCAGGCTGACATCATGACAAGCTGGCTCTTCTTCAATGATAAACTTATCGATCAATCAGAATTGACTTCCGAATGCTAACATTTGGTCCTGTTTCGACCGAGTTCTGCCATTCTCCGAATCTCCGCCGCCAATGACTTTGTGCCCGGGGCCGGGCCCTCAGCGATATATAATTTGCAGGACCACCACCGCCACAAGCAGGACAACCGTTGCCAAGATTCGGCGCAGAATCTTGTGTGCACTTGTGCAATAAAACCACAAGTCGGCAGCATCCTTGCAATTTTCAGCGATGGGCTAGTGGGGGATTTGGCAGAACGGACGCCAACTTCAAAATCACACTCCCCTAAACCAGTAAGAACCCAAAACATGACAAGGCCCAAAAGATTGCCTTCCTTCTGGAACGCTGCCCATGTGTGTTTCCACGCTGGGCTGGGCCTCTTTTCTGGTTTCACATTAATCCTTTCCCCCTAATGGTAAACCCACCCTCCTAACAAGAACCCCCCACCCATGTGGTACCACTGTATATTAGGGAAAACTTCCCATGTCAGGGGTGGGGTGGTAATAAGTCACAATCGTAGTTGTAATGCTAATACTAATACTGCCTGATAGTACTAATAATGGCAACTAGTAACAATGATAGTGATCCCTAAACCCTAAACCCATGATAGTACCAATAGAAAGGGGAGGTGATTAGTTTGGGGAACTTTACCGAAGCAAGGCTGGTAGTGCCGCGGCAGTCGGAGTGCGGCCTGGTCATCCCTATTCCCACCAAGGCCCCGAGAGACCATGTTAAGGTTTAGGATATGGGGTTTTGGGGTTTAGGATAGAGGGTTTAGGGTTTCGGATACAGGGCTTAGGGTTTAGGGTACAGGGTTTGGGGTTTAGTGAGCTCTGGCTGCTTGGGTGTGGCAGAGTTGTCGTCGCATGTTCCTTTGTGATATCATTCCTCAAACTCAGCACGATGTGCTGCAACGTTTGGCCTGTCCGACATAAGAGTACGTGATGCCTCCTACTTTGCATGTTTCATCTTGCCACGGGAGCCTCTTAAAGGGGAGTTGTTCCTGGCTGCCGCCAGTCATCAAAGCCGGTTGCTTAAAAACGGGTTTTGGGTTAGGTAGATCCCCAGAGAAAGACAAACCCTCTAAGAACCCCTAAGCTGGGGCTCCCTCAGAATGCCTCCCTTAAAAGGAGTCCTTTTATTGGGAGGTCCCCTGAGAAACTCTCCGTCCGAACATACATGGCACGTGAAGAGGAGTCCTATCAAGACTCCTGTGGTTTACGAAAAAAGGCCACAGGGGAGGACAGGTTTTGGGTGGGCAACAGAAAGCAAACCAGGTCAGGGCAGGAATATCATAATTGTCATAGGGAACCCCAATAAAGTACCCCTAAGTTTGGGAAACCCTAGTATATGTTAGGTTTGGACTCCACTCGCAGGTAGATGTTGGGTTTGCAGGTTGGAAGAGGTATCCTACACCTCACCACCAGCTGCTGTCAATGTATAAGGCACCTGCAGATTTCAGGACATCCAAACTATCATAGATTCCGACATGCCTTTGATATGTGAACCTTTTCGGTTACAGTGCTGCAGGATCGCTCTGCCATCTTCGTCATAGTTTTTGGCACGGACGCTCAGCCGCTGCTGCGGGCCGAGGCAGTCGAACCGGGAACTGACTTGAAGACCGCTGTAGTCTTGGCAACGCCTGACAGCAGCACGAGAGATGGTACAAGTCTTAGAGACAGTGACTGTGGCATAATTCTGGTAGTAATGAGGTTGTAACCACCAGGAAGAGGACACTCATGCTACTCCTCATCTTTGTCCTCCTCCTGACTCCTCGTTGTAGTCCTCGTGATAGTGGTAGTCGCACTAGCCGTAGCAGGAACAGTAGAAGCAGCAGCAGGAGCAGGAGTAGTTGTAGAAGTAGTAGTCGTCGTCGTCGTCCTAGCAGCAGCAGACAGTAGAAGAACAAAAAAATGCATCAGTAGCAGTA